GGAGGCTTTGATCATTGAAAAGAATGAGGTACAAATTTTGTGACAGAAAAGTTGCCACGATCTGACCTCAATCTAGCTATTCACCTTAACCCCTAACAAATGAGTGAGTGTCTGTCAAGACTGTGTCGGCTAAGCACCTCCAGCGAACCACGACCTGTGTTAATTGCTGAACTAAACTTAACTACACTTTTAAGTTACCAAGTATGTATTGTGAACTTGGCATGTACCCAGTGCTGCAAAGTTCCCTTTTCAGTTTTATCCTTGAGTTGCATTTATATATATATTCTCCAGGACATTTAATGTCATCTGTAAGTATGGAGATTTGTTGGTACTCAGCTAAAAGTAAAAGACATTCATTGAAGCTGTGATATGTTTTATCTATATGAAAGAGACCTTAATGTTCCAGTCTCTTTTGGTTAGATCTTCTACCAGATGCCATCAGTGAAGACTATGCCTTCAAGGTAATAATGACCTGTGGAATCACAAACATGTGCAACAAGCAGTGATCAGGAAGGCTAAGATATTTCCCCACGGGTGCAGGGGGTGGGGCGCGGCAACTGTTGGAGGCCACATGAGGGGCCCCTAATTCAATCTGAAGACATCCTGAAAGCCTGGTGACCTTTACACCAACTTTTGACACATGAGTAGAAGCTAGTTAGGTGAGGGAAGGGTCAAAGGGCCAAGAAAAGGGAACACATGAAAAAGCAAGGAGATCTGTATAAAGCATTCAGGGAACTACAAGAAGTTCAGAGTGGCTGAATCAAAATATATTTTTGGGAAAAGGACAGTGAATAAGGACAGTATATAAGAGTGAAGACGCAGTCTGGAGTCAGGACCACGGAGCATCAATGCTGAAGAAAGACCTTTCTGGTAGAAGCATGAAGGAATGACTGATGGAGACTGAGGCAGAGGTCAGGGAGCCTTTCTTGTAAGAGACCAATAGTAAATAGTTTACACTTTGCAGGCTAGACATTCGCTTTCAGGACTATCAACATTGCTTTGTATTGCAAAACCTCCAAAGACATTAAGTAAAACAAGTGGGCATGGTCATATCCAATAATGGACCTTTATTAATGGACACTGAAATGTGAATTTCACATAATTTTCACACCATAAAGCACTACATGCCACTTAATAACATTTCAGTCAACAGTGACTGACTGCATCCATCATGGTGGTCCCAAAAGGCTGTAGCATCATTGTGTAAATGCACTCTGACATTCATACAAGTGTGAAATCATCTAACAAAACATTTCTCAGCACTTAACCCATCAACATATAACACATGATTATATTCTTTTGATTTTTTTAAGCCATTACAAAAATGCAAACAGCATTCTAAGTTTCAGGCCACACAAAAACAGACCATAGTCATATTTGACCCAGCAGAGTATACTTTACTAGTTCCTGGACTTGCTAGTGGAATGTAGGGCAAAGAATGTAGACAGCTCTTTTGAGAAGCTCATCTCAGAAAGGGAGGGGAGAAATCATGCCAGAGCAGAGGGTGTGCAGATGAAGGACTGTTTCTCAGAAGAAACTGGAAGGTGTCTTCAGAGAACACACACACACACACACACACACGCAGAGAGAGACAGAAAGAGAGAAGGAGGAGCCATTGAAGATGATGCAGAGAGGTGTTGGAGTAGATTATGGAACAGGCAAGAGGAAGAGATGGAATGCAGAGTGGAGATGGAGACATACATGCTATAAAGAGGAAACTCCTCTTTTACCAAGACTGGTGGGGAGGGAGGAAGGAAGGCTGGGGACTGATACTGAAGTAGGTTGCAGGGAAAGGAAGGGGAGGACTCTTTTATTGAGAATTTTTATTTACCCAATGAAAAAGGAGGCAAGACTGGAATTTCAGGTAACTTGTCTATCTGAGCATGGAAATCACCCAGATGGATGGTAGGGCTGGGAATGGTCTGAGGAATAGAGGACATCTTACAGCAGACACCCAGGTGAATGTGTGGGAGTGACCCAGAAGTCATTAGATGGTGGCAGCTAGGCAAGGAGAGGGTGTTAGATTTGCAATGAAGGGTGGAGGCATAATAAGCTTGGAACCACAATGGGGAGTGACTGGTGCCAACCCCTCCTTCAGCTCCTTCAGGTCACATGATACAGGCTGTGAGTTGTATGTGTGTGTAGGACAGTGGTGAGGAAATGAACAGGCTCCAATTTAAAACAGCTTCAGAGCATGTGATATCCTGGGTGAGATTCAAGTACAGATCAAAGGAAGAGAGGGATGGGACATGAGTGCAGCAGCTCAGAGGGCTGAGTGGTTTGCTCAGAGTGGAGAGCATTCTAGAGAATATGAGACAAGATTGGGAGGACAGCAGTGAGAGGAGAAACTGGGGGGGGGGTGTTAGAAACAGAGCAGTTTTGGATTAAGAGAAAAGTATATTCGGAGGGGAACCGAGGGCTCATGGGGATTGGCCTTTTTGGTAGTAATTGCATCTCAAGTGTGCTCAAAGAACTCTTGATGTAGCGGGTGCTGGGCAGCGGCCATACTAAGTTGCAGAAGTGGGGGTTCGAGGGGTGTAAAGCCCAAGTAGAATAAAAGGCATGAAATCATGTGGTCAGCCCAGCAATCTGTGACTCTGTTTCTCCCCCCTCCCAACATCTGGAGAATGAAAAATGGTTTTGTGCTGAGGCAAAACTGTGAGTGGGTGTGGTTAGGTCTTGCAGAAGTAGGTAAAGTTATTCATTAGGCCTTCTGGAGTGACCAAGATAGGTGTGGGAAGGGGGCTGTGGGGAGACTAGGATGGACCCACACCTGGGGATCTGGCCTCTGCAAAACTTTGCCCTGAACAGGTTTGGGTGGTTGTACAGGAGTAGGGATATAGGAAACAGGCTGATGTGCTCACCGACAGACCCGGTAGGAGCGAATGGGTGCACAGTCTCTGGGACAGTTTCTACCCTGACAGGCACAGAACATTTTAATAACTTCTCTTTTGAAGATTGAGCTTTATTTATTTATGTATACAAGAACTGGGGTGTAGGCCAGTGGTGTGGGGTTGAGAATGAGAGAATGCACCAGAAACAAAGTGGGGGGGGGCAGAACACGTGGATCTACTAAAACACACTGCTGAGAGGAGCAGCAGGGTGAGACTTGATCTGCTGCTCCATGTGGTTGAGCTCCCAGGCCAGGAGTGGAACTGTGCAGCAGTGGCTGGCCATAGCTTCATAGTGCTGGGTTTTAACCCCTGCACCACCAGGGAGGCACGCTCTCTCTCTCTCTCTCTCTCTCTCTCTCTCTCTCTCTCTCTCTCTCTCTCGCTTTCTCTCTCTCTTTTCCCTCCTCTCCATCTCCCTATTGCATTGTGTCTGACTGATTTTCAGAGCACCTTCGCAGTTTCCCCATCTCCATTGTGTCTGACTGATTTTCAGAGCACCTTCGCAGTTTCCCCATCTCATTCCCTTTCTGTAAAATATCTAGACAGGAAGGAGGTGGCTGCAGAG